ACACTTCTCTAACTTCTGGTCACTTTCCAAACAGTCTCAAGGAGGCAAGAGTAAACCCTCTCCTAAAGAAACCCACTCTCAACCCGTCTGATGTTATAAACTACAGGCCTGTCTCTCTCCTCCCGTTCCTGTCTAAAACACTTGAACGCGCTGTCTTTAAACAACTCTCCTGTTATCTCCATCAGAACAACCTTCTGGATCCGCACCAGTCTGGTTTCAAGGCAGGTCACTCCACAGAAACTGCTCTCATTGCTGTCACTGAGGAACTGCACACTGCCAAAGCAGCATCACTCTCATCTGTCATCATCCTGTTGGACCTGTCTGCTGCATTCGACACGGTGAATCATCAGATCCTCCTTCGCACTCTCCAAGAACTTGGAGTTTCAGGCTCTGCACTTTCCCTCCTCACCTCATACCTCAAAGACCGTACCTACAGGGTAACTTGGAGAGGGTGCGAGTCCGACCCTTGTCAATTAACTACAGGGGTCCCTCAGGGCTCTGTTCTTGGTCCCCTCCTCTTCTCCTTGTACACAAACTCGCTCGGATCGGTCATTAGCCGGCATGGTTTTTCATACCACTGCTACGCTGACGACACCCAATTAATTCTGTCCTTTCCCCCCTCAGAGACCCAGGTCGTCGCACGCATCTCTGCTTGTCTAGCTGACATCTCTCAGTGGATGTCTGCTCATCACCTCAAGCTCAACCTTGACAAGACTGAACTGCTTTCCTTCCAGGAAAAGATTGTCCCACTCTTGACCTGACTATCAACATCGGCACCTCTGTTGTTTCCCCGACTCAGACTGCAAGGAATCTGGGTGTGACCCTAGATAACAACCTGTCCTTCACTGCAAACATCGCTGCTACAAACCGTTGCTGCAGATACACACTTTACAACATCAGGAGGATACGTCCCCAGCTGACCCAGAAAGCCACGCAGGTTCTGGTCCAGGCTCTCGTCACCTCACGCCTAGACTACTGCAACTCCCTCCTGGCTGGTCTACCTGCATGTGCCATCCGACCTCTGCAGCTCACCCAGAATGCAGCGGCAACCTTCCTAAATTTTCCCACACCACTCCGCTCACTTCACTGGCTTCCGGTAACTGCTAGAATCCACTTCAAGACACTCGTACTTGCATACCATGCTGCGAATGGATCTGGCCCTTCCTACATCCAGGACATGGTTAAACTGTACTGTAAGTCGCTTTGGATAAAAGCGTCAGCTAAATGCAATGTAATGTAATGCACTGCATCGTCCAATCAGTGAGTGATACACAGTAAGGGGGCGGGGCGAGTGTCTGAGGATTTCATCGAAGGATGGTCTGGTGGTTCCTCGGTTATAGCTCCTCCATTATCGCTCCTCGCTCCTCGATCCTCGATCCTCGGTCCTCCTTCAAAAATAAGGCCATTGGGACGCTACTCAAGATGGCACAGACAAATCAACTTCCGGTGAGACAGAGACCGAGGAGCGAGGAAATGAAAAATAAGAGAAGTGAGAAGGGCCCTTGGTCAGGGTCCTTTGGCGTGCAGTAGTGACGCGCCGAGTCTCCTTCAGCTTCATAAACGGACGCAAAGGGCTTTCAACTGATTGCAATGTATCCGGTTTATCACAAGGTGAGTTCTTTTTTTATTTCCTGCTTTTTAAACATGTGCTCTTCAGTACAGGTTAGCTCTGAGTGTTAGCGAGGCTTGCCAATGTAAACAAAGACATCCAAAACACGTCAGGCATTGTTTCTGATAGCAACTTTCTGTGGGTCCGCAGACGTCAGTTCGGATGGAAATCTGTATCCGCTCGTTGTACACCCGTTTTTAAAAGATTTACGTACGGAGGAAAAGAGAGGGTTTTATTTTCGGACGCTGCGTGAGTTCCCCGACGCACCGGGGACACATATTTATGTATAAAAGACATCACAAAGTGCATTTTGCATGATAGGTCTCCTTTAACCTGTTAAGCCCTGTCCTGAGCCTGTTTTTCAGGTCTCAGGCTCGAAAATGACATTCCCAGAACAAATGACCATATCTTCAATTCTAAAAGGGTTAAATTAATAATATTTTTTCTCAAAGTAATGATAAACCTGTGAGTTGGATGTAGAAAAGTCAGAATCAATATAGATGGTTTTTTATTTTAAAGAAAATCCAGATTGAACATGGTAAAAAACTAGATATTATAGTGTCCGTCCAAAAATTATGTTTTACTTATAGTGAAAACTACCCTTGCTTTAGGAATCCAAAGTACAACATATAATTAGTACCCTGTATCAAGATTGATGCAAAACAAGTGATATTTGACCTTTTTAGAGAGATTTAGCAAAAAAAACTCCACCTCTGAGGTGATTTGCGTGGAAATGGCTGTTTTTACCGTTTCTCTGGCGATATGCACTTACAGTACTTCCGACTGAACGCATTGCTCTGAGTTACTTTTGTAGTGGGTCATAAGATATTTAAACAAGCTGGTTTAGCGCAAATATTACATTGCATTGCATTTAGCTGACGCTTTTATCCAAAGCGACTTACAATAAGTGCGTTCGACCAACAAGATACAAACTTGAAGAAAACAGAATCATATAAGTACATCAGGTTTCATAGAGCCAAAACATTTCAAGTGCTACTCAACTGGCTTTAGATAAGCCAGTCCTTTATTAGTATATAAGTGCTTTGTTAGTAATTCTATCGCTCAAAGTGGAGTCTAAAGAGATGAGTTTTCAGTCTCCCCCGGAAGGTGTGTAAGCTATCTGCTGTCCTGATGTCAATGGGGAGCTCATTCCACCATTTTGGAGCCAGGATAGCAAACCCACGTGTTTCTGCTGATGGGAACTTGGGTCCCCTTCGCAGCGAGGGTGCAGCGAGCCGTTTGGTTGATGCAGAGCGGAGTGCACGTGCTGGGGTGTACAGTTTAACCATGTCCTGGATGTAGGAAGGGCCAGATCCATTCGCTGCATGGTACGAGGATCCAGAAGGTTGTTCTGATGGAGATAACAGGAGAGTTGTTTAAAGACAGCGCGTTCAAGTGTTTTAGACAGGAACGGGAGGAGAGAGACAGAGAGTGGGTTTCTTTAGGAGAGGGTTTACTCTTGCCTCCTTGAGACTGTTTGGAAAGTGACCAGAAGTTAGAGAAGTGTTGATGAAATGGGTGAGAAACGGTAGAATATCAGGAGCGATAGTCTGAAGGAGGTTTGAAGGGATAGGGTCCAGAGGACAGGTGGTAGGGCGGGCAGAGGTAATGAGGGTAAGAACCTCACTTGGAGAGAGAGGGCAAAATGAGGTTATGTGTGGGTGAAAGGAGGGTCTGGTGACCCAGCGGTGAGTAAAGGTGAGTCAGAAAAAGAAGAGCGAATATCATCAACCTTTTTTTCAAAGTGGTTAATGTTAACTGTGATGGTTATTCTCGCGTCCAGGAAAGAGAAGCTTAAAAAGGAGACTAAATGGAGTCTGAGATGTTTTCAAATGGGTACTTTAATTAATAAAAAAGGCGCGGTAAAGTCACAAACAGGATATTGTCTGACAGAAAAGCAGCTGCCTCTGGCTCCCCGCTAGCAGAGAAAAGAGGCCGAACCGCTCAGGTGCTGCTGTTATATAGCTTCTGCAGGCTCCTCCCTGCGGGCCGGCCCTCCACATCTTAATGTCCGTTGTTACGCATATCACAGGATACAGACATTGTACATTCAATATATCTAAACACGCCTTTTCTCCTCCTTAACTCTTTCATGACTTTTCATTTAACACATTTTAAACGCTATAATCAATACTCCAAAAAATACAGGAAATCCTTCACAGCAATTTGATTTCCGGTCGTTCCGAATGTTGTGACATGCTACCCACATCTGTAAACAATAACGAACTCAAATAAACTGTACCTTCATTTAATATCCAACAATAATAATATCTCGATGTCTATAGTTGTAGTGTTGAAATCAGTAGGTTTCGGTGTGCAACATCATATCATATCGCTGCTAAATTCACCTCTATAGGAAATGGTATATTAGCCTCATGCTAACCGGAGGTGAAGGGTTTTCAGAATAAAAGTCTAACTGGTTGTGCACAAGAACTTCTGGTTTTTCAGTATAAAACAGCATTTAAACTAAAGGTACATTTAAGGTACATTATGCCATCAAAACATTGATTTTAATTTCTAACATTAACGAAGTCGCTTGGAAGAAGGGAGGAGGGGGAAGGGGCTTTGGGGGGTCCAAGAGGGTGGAGAAGATGGAAAATAGTTTTTTGGGGTTGGAATAGGAAGATTGGATGTTATCTTGAGAGAAAGTGCTATTACAATAGTCAGATGTTCTGTAGGTGGGCACAATATTCTATTCATTTACATGTTCACACAGCCTGTGATTTATAGCAGTCTCTCTTTCCTGTTGTGGCATTTTGAACTGTGCTAACCCTAAACAAAATGTGCCTGGAACATGACCTCATAGCCTTAATCTCTGTGAATCGAGCTCTGATTGGTCAGCAGGTGATGCTTTTACTCTAATTGATCTCTTCATTTGAACTCAACCTGCTCCGAAGCAGGTTACATTACATCACATGTCACCTATTAGACGCTTTCATTGCCAGTCCCCACAGGAGTAACTTGGGGGGAAGTGTCTTGCCCAGGTTAGGAGTTCAGCATAACTTACCATGGCAATCTACACAGGTAAGAATTGAAGCAGTTAACCCTGAAATTACCCAGCCAACCCAAAATCCTGCTTTGTATGCCACAGGAAGCTGTTTCGGGATGTACTTGTCTATGAAAGGTCCCCTCCGAGTGAAAAGTAACTTACATCAGGATAAAAAACGCATAACAGCTCCTCTTTGCTCAGGAAAAACTCACATCTGGGCATTCATTCTACTCGGATACAACAGATATTGTTTAGCATCTACATTGCAAAACAGTGATGAAGCAGCTGCTGGGCCCAAGCCTTCACTGTGCTCAAGTTCAATCGCACCAGAACACATTTGACATGTTGATATCCATTGACTGACAATTGTTTTGGTATGACCTGAGCAAATAAAAATCAATGAACACTTGTTAGCCTTTATTTCAGAATTGGATATAAGATTACTAAAACAAATGTCTCTTGCTGGAATACAGATGAATTGTTTAGGAAAATGCACCCTGTACATCGCAGACAAACCTAAGCCCAAAATATATGACGTTTCTTTCAATTAAAGGGTTTTAAAAACAAAGGTAATTGAACTTGTTACATTGAATACTACTATGCCTGTGAAAAGAGCATACTGCCTCCTGTTGTCTGCAGAAGCTTTGACATTTTGACCCATTTGCAGAGAGCATGCATTACAAACTGGGCGCAATGCTTGAAACAAGTTACCATTTACCAAACTCTAATGAACGTTATCATGCTGTGTTATGGGGATGTTAGGATTTGTGTTTATGAGATTGTTTAAGGGACTACAAAGTCCAACAGCACCATTGACTTTGTTTAAAAAAAGTATCTTACGCAAATAATTTCATTTTTGAAGTAGACCTTTATATTTCATACATACAGTGTGCAAATGTTTGATTCTTAACATAGGATCCCCCGCATGAATACATGAAGGTGAAGAGAAGATGGCAGTGTGGCCACTCTGATGTGGTCACACTGCCAAGCCACTCACCTGTCACAAACACGCAAAAGGGAATTATAGAACTCTAACAGAGGCAGATTGTCTGCCGCATGACTTGGGGGTGAAAGTGGGCTGTTTTCCCACCAACTACTGATAAATAAAAGACATTCAACTCATTATTTCTGAAAACATCCCCACTATTTAAAAATGTTTACAAGATCACAAATTAAACATGAACATGAGCTTAACATCAAAAGGTGTTCCAGAACCAAGAGAAACACCAGCCAATGATTGATAAACCATTTTTTAAATCACACGGGCAACATTTGCACTAAAACGAAGGTTTTATTTGGCACAGGGCCCTTTCAACATTTCAATTGATATAGTTTTTCAGATGTGTACAGTAAACAGTGATTGTGGGTCTTTCAGTTAGTGGTTACTGTGCCTAGCTGGTAATTCAGCCTTTTTGTGTTTTCTCCCTTAAGAAATGTACTTGGGAAGAAACTGATATAGTCCATATGGCTCCACTAGTACATACATTACATCGATCTTCTTTAAACTGTTGTGAAATCTTAATTCTATGGCCTATGACCACCCCGAGTGCTTTACATGAACAGAGATGATTCATCAGTCAAATTCAACATTATTCAAACATGATGTGGTTTGGTCCAGGAAAGCTATTAACCTTCCACTTTCCTGAAGCTCCTATGTTCGTCGTCATGCCGGTGGCTCACAGCTCGTCGTGGCGCAGCGGCATCTGGCTGGGCTGCAGGAAGACGCCCTCCATGGAGCGCCACCAGTTGTTCTGGTTAGCAGAACTCATGCCGTGCACCTCCCTCTGGCCGCGGATGGGGTGGCCGTACTGCTCCCCGGTCACACTCAGGAAGACGTCGGTGCCCACGTGTTTGAAGCGCACATCCTCCTCGCGCTCCCAGTGGATGCCATCACACTGGACCGCCCACACGTCCAGATTGTCTCCCTCGCCGTTCTCTCCAAAAGCGCTGACCTCCTGCAAGCCACACAGTGGGAAGGAAAGACAAGAACAGTACAACTAGTCAACAAGGTACTCAATAATACGTGTATCCATAATCTTAGAGATCTACTTCTTTGACACAGGGCTCTATAAATGTTGAAACGTGAAAGACATGTAAAAAGTGAGTCTGACCTGGTTATTAGACAGGGGTGAGCTGAAGTGGTGTGTGTGGAGGTTTCGCCCAGTCTTCATGTGTGTGATGCGGATGCCCTGACCACACTTGATGGCCTCCCCCCGCTGACAGGGGCGGTTGGGCTTTCCACGAATCTGCCAATAACTGTTGGCATCATCCGCAATCTCAACTCCAGTTACAGATTGCTGTCCACTGCCTACACACACACACACACACACGCACACACACAAGTGAAGGGCATTGCATTCAGTGGTCAAACTTTGTTCACACATGGCTGTGCTATGAATTGAGCCACAGTTTGAGTGGTACTTTTTCTTGGTCAGCATCAGAAGAAGAAGATCCGTTTTTCTTGATCTCCATACATCTTTTCACACAGTAAGTCATCAAAAACTCTTGATGAAAAAAAAAACCTGTCCAAATTCAAACTGTCTGTTAGCACACTAAAATGGGTAAGGTCCTATTTATCTGGTCGTTCTCAAAGTGTTCGTATAAATGATTTTGTGACCACTGTTGTTCAGCATACATATTAATAGTCACCACAAGTCTGAGGATGTGGACATGCAGATGTACGATGACACGGTCATCAGACTCATGTGAAAATGCTGAACAGGTTTCTACTAAGCTCTCAGTAACACTGCACAAAGTTGCTCAATGGCTAAGCGACTTTCTCACTTTAAATACAAAAAAAGTGACAATTTATTTGACTAATAAACAAAAACAAATCCATGCATCTAACGCAAAGTGTAAAAGGGACAAATAATCAACAACAATTAAATAGGTCAAATATGTAGGCGTAATCTTGGATACCAACTTGGCAAAAGGCAGATTCAATCCACTGATGCGCACAATCCACTCTTCATTTATGAACATCAAGCATTAGAATATTCGTTCAAACCTCTCACTCTTTTTCCAATGATGCATAAATATAGATATTGAGCAACCAGTCCAATTTAAATGAATTGTAATTTTATAGTTGTAGTGATAAATTGGCTGGTATATATTTTATATATTTGTCTTTTGGTCTGTTATATAACCATGAGCATGATAGACAAGAAATGTTTGTTGATGGTCATGTGGGGTCCTGTTTGCGCAATCTTAGTCTTTAGGTCTTTTAAGTAGGATTCGAGATGTATGTACACGTTTTAGCATTCCCTGACACACCGGCTACTGCCACTAGTTATTTGTTTACTCTACCTGTAGCTGTGTTGTTGTGTCTTCTTCTATTTCTCTTTGCATTAATCTGTATGCAGTCATTTGTTTATGTATTTTTTTAAAAGTACTCTCCATTTCTATGCACAAATTTACATAATTATTTATGTCACTATCTCAGAATCCGGATCTTTTGTGTCCCTCACCTGGCAGGTTGCCAGTTGTAATGGTTACGTCTGGATCAGAGTTGTGGCTGTTGTCACATTTGCGAGACCTAGAAAACTTTTAACACCCTCCTGCATCCACCTTTTTTATATACATTCACATTTTCGTATTTGGATTTAGAATTTGTACACACAACATTTATTCTTTGTCTGTTACTTGTTTTAACTATTTTTTAGGGAAGAAAGAAACCATTCAGATTCCCAATATGTGATTAGCGCACATAATGCATGTTTGGAGCTCTGAGGAGAGGCAGACTATGTGAGGGTTGGTGTACACATGGTAGACAATGTTTTTAATAATTACTCACACTGCCAGAAGGGTACACAGGTCCGAGCTGTAAGTAAGAAAGCTAATGTTTACTATCTCACTAGCCACAGATGGCTGTGGTAATGTGAGCATCCAACTGCCAAAGTGAAGCTGAGAATGTACAATAATATTAAAGCGACAAGCAGCGATGGACAGGCCCTCGCTTCCCAAAGCGTATCAGGGTTACTTCTAGGCAGGTGTGACAATGAGCCACTTTGCCACACCGAAACACAATATCATATTAGTAAACTATGTTTATTACTCTTGATGTGTGTCCCAAGCTTTGTGCTTGTGCATGCACCCCTAAGCCATTAAAAGTAAATTAATGTTTCATGGTGAACAATGTGTCGCTGACGTGGGTGAACTGGTTAACCTGCTGAGAGCTCCCAGTCAAAGTGAGGCAACAGTCACTTCCTGTTGCCACAAGGCTGTGCTATAACTGCAAAGCTCATCATCTGTGCTCAGGCCATAATTACCTACTGACAACAATACTAGTGCTAACAATAAGAATAAAAACAAATGCAGTTGAACCAGATGTGAAAAAATGGGGAGGGGCATAAGGTAGAAGCAGAATGCCTAAGAGCAAATGAATGTCACTTTGGATGCCAACATCCATGTGCATTGAAGAGTTCATATGAAATGGACTACAACAAATGAAGGTAGTCAAGTTAAACAGGAAAGTGACTATTCTGTGCCAGAGAAGATTAGCAGTTGTGTACATTATCAGTTAGCATCTTGTTACTACAAGATTTTCATATACACTCAGGGCCGTCCCTCCCTACAGGCCGATCATGCAGGCTGCATGGGGCCTCACATTGCGCAGGGGGCCTCGGCTTATGAGCTCGGCTTGTTCGCAGTTCTCAGCGCAGTTCTCCGCCTCTTCCCTTAACTCCTAACAGTCATCATCATGTCAACCACAACACAGAGAAATACTGATAGCAATGTGTGTGTAGTTGTTGACACATTGCTGACAGAGGGAACTACATTTTAATACAGATTTAAGAAATATCAGTTTTTGAGCATGTAATAAGCATGTTTTGTCTTGACTATATTACAACTATATTATAATAAAAATAATATAGTATTTATATTATTGAATTGATTATGATTATTATTATTAGTAGAAGTAGTTTATTTGCATTAATTATATTTAAATCTTTTTGAGGCTAGTATTTGGCAAGAAATGCAGACATATTCACCTGTAAACGCATACATGCACATTTACCATTTACCTCACTGTATACAAAAGTAACTGTTAATAATAATAATAAACAGGAATTATATTTGCAAAGTACTTTGTTTCCCCCAAAAAAAAGATGCACTCCTGTCGGTGGGGGGGCTCATCTCACAATGTCGCTTGGGGCCCCAAGTTGGCCAGGGACGGCCCTGCATATACTTAATGTATTATAACATTTGCAAAACGTGTAATTTGTTTTAATAACTGAATAAAACCTTTCAACTGACAGCAGTAGGAGCTCCAAAGGAGGCACTTTGATTAAATGTCCAGCTGTAGTATGAGAGGTGGTTCCACGGGGCAGAGACAGGTGTATGCCGGGCACACACAGAGGGAGGCTGCACAATGCTCCACACACACCCAGTCTGACCCAGTCCAACACAGTCACAACCGAAGAGTTGCTATACTGTGGCATTTGCTATGTTGCCGTTTTGGGGGGTGTTTGTACATGACCAAGGCAGCTGTCAGATTGGTGAAGCATCTCGATACGAACTGCATGTGCTGCAGCTGGAGAGAGAAACACACGCGTCCTATGCTCATCGCAATGAAATAAGTCTTAATTACATGTGATATCCGCGTGAAGTTACCTGAGCCATATTTGACATCGTGGGAATGCAGACGGACGTTGTGTCTGGTGTTGAGCAGTTTGAGCAGAGAGCCGCAGGTCACGGTGTTCAGCTCCGACTCTCTTCCTTCACACTTTGACCACAGCAGCAGAAACATCAGTGATCGGACGAAAACGTGTAAAACGTGAAGTATCTCCATCTCTGTGTGGAGATGTGTCTCGTATCGGCGAGAGACTCACAAAAGATGAACGGCCCATTCACAATCGGGCACTTTCAAACGATACTGCTGATTTCAACCAATCACAGCTTGACAAGTCCTAAATACGGAAGTTTGTGCAGACATATGATTGGTCAAACAAGAATGTGTGTGTGGTTACCCCGGAAGTCGGAATCTAATATGACAAAAATATATTTGATCATCCTGTATTAATTTAGCAGTAATTAAGTCAAAAGGAATAAAATAGACACGCTTTCTCCGCAGCAAAGCCGTTCAGAAGGAACGTTTTATAACAATATTCGTAGTTTTTGTCAAAAGAGGAACTTTGGTAAGGATATAAAAGCGTCTATCAATATAATACAAAAAAGAATAAAACAACATAGATCTAAAATCAAACAAAGAAAAGTTAAACTAACATCCAACATATAAAGTGAACTCTCAAAGATAACTAAAATAAGTATATCAGCAGACCAAATGTTAAAAATGTATATTTTAACTATCTTACAGTGATAAGATTAGAACCATAGTTTATCGATCAGATAGCTAAACCCAGAGCCATATAATAGATTCTCTCTATATGGCGCTGGCTAAACCTAATTTAAAAAATAAATAGAACATTCAAAATAGACCAATTTAAGTTAAGTTTAGTTTCAGAAATTATTGTGTGTTGGAATTATGAATGTTGGTTAATGTGTAGGCCTATGTAGGCTACCATAGGTATGTACATATACATTCGAAAGTGGGTAGACGGATTTTAGAGGGGACAGTGAACGCACCTGAGGCTGGTCAGACTGGCCAGGTGAGTTTCCACGCGGTGATCTGGGATCAGTTTTCCCCCACGCTAATTAACCCGGGTTAGCCCGGAGCTCATTGATTTCTGATCTGAGATCAGTGTGAGAGTGTTGGCGAACAAAGGAGGGGGCAGTAGTACCTGTTTCACTGAGAGAAATACACAAGGAGTTATCGCAAGGTAAGTCAGCGTCTAAATAACAAATTCATTGTTTTTAATGTTAAAAAAGACGATAGACATATATGTCACATTTATTGTGTTGATTTTGACTATATTTTTATTTTGTTAACACATTGTTACCGGTTTTATTATGTGTCTACATTCAGAGACATCTGTTTCTAGGAGTGGCCAAATGTTTTAACGCACGCTGACATTTCATCCGGATCTTACAACGTCAGTAAATGTTTGGACACTTTTTTAAAGTAAACCAACATATAGGCCTAACCTACTGATTAACATTAATTTGCGACCACAGGGTTAAAACTGCTCAAATGTTCAGTTATTTTTTGTTATTTTGAGGACTAAACGGGTAAAGATACAGTATTTACATAGTACAATAATCCGTGTATCTACCGTCCATTTGTTTTTCTTTATTAAACAAGTAAACGGAAGAGCGTCTGAGAGGCCTTTTTGCTTTTCACTTTACTAAATGGTCTAATGGTCCTTGGAGCGAGGGGCGGGGCGAAACTCACGGAAGTGATTTCAAAACAAAAGCACTCGTGTGCTTGGAACTGTGATAATATTATAAACAAGGTGAATTTAGCGATCACAACGAAAATAGCCAAGACACATATTGAGCCCAGATAATGAATGTTATTACGGGCTGTAAATATAATAAGCCTTTGTCTAAAATGGACAACATGTTAGGAGATTTAAACTACAGCGATTCTGCACTGCGGTCAACTCAGCCGCCTCTCGCGTTTGTTATTATTTTTTCTGCCATTAGTTCTTCGTGAGATTGACACTGTTGGACTCAGTACTAGTGAAACTACCCCCACAAGTACTATGAAGTACTTACTGTGTACTTTTCCAGTAGGCTACTCCTCTGTCAATGTCCCCTCCTGAGAACAAGAATGCATGTTTCTCTGCTATTTTGAATAAGCGTTAAAAAAAACCTTTCTTCATGAGACTGATATTGTTGGACTGAGTATTTTAAGAGGGTATGGTAGACTTGATATCAGCAATACTTCCAGTCAGTACTCCGGCAGCAGCATTTTCACACCTTGGAAAGTTTTTAGAGTCTTGCTTGGATAGCTGGTCACAACTATCCTTCAGCACACTGACACACCCTTGTGCACTCTTGTTGGCCTCTTATGACAATGCTGTCTTTTAAATAGGATTATTTCTCTGCTCCTACTTTATTCCTCTCAGATTCTTCCATCAGTCCCAGTCATTGCATGTCAGTCAATAGAGCTTCGAAAAATGTGTCCAATTCAACTAAATGTTTTTTTGTGAGTGAAGGCCAGAGCTAAATGATAGATGGTTTGATTGTGTAATTACAAGGTGAGAGAAAATAAATCCACACTCCTACTGAACTTATTTGATTTCCTTTTCCATGTTATACTTACTTGTATTACAACATTTGCATGTTGAACTACATGCTGGATATCTTCCCCAGCCTCAAGGAAATACAATAAAGTTAAAATTAAAAATTGATACATTACATTACATTGCATTTAGCTGACACTTTTATCCAAAGCGACTTACAATAAGTACATTCGACCAACAAGATACAAACTTGAAGAAAACAGAATCATAAAAGTACATCAGGTTTCATAGAGCAAAAACATTTCAAGTGCTACTCAACTGGCTTTAGATAAGCCAGTCCTTTATTAGTATATAAGTGCTTTGTTAATAGTTCTAACGCTCGAAGTGGAGTCGAAAGAGATGAGTTTTCAGTCTGCGCCGGAAGGTGTGTAAGCTATCTGCTGTCCTGATGTCAATGGGGAGCTCATTCCACCATTTTGGAGCCAGGACAGCAAACCCACGTGTTTTCGCCGATGGGAACTTGGGTCCCCTCCGCAGCGAGGGCGCAGCGAGCTGTTTGGTTGATGCAGAGCGGAGTGCACGTGCTGGGGTGTACGGTTTAACCATGACCTGGATGTAGGAAGGGCCAGATCCATTCGCAGCATGGTAAGCAAGTACCAGTGTCTTGAAGTGGATTCTAGCAGTTACCGGAAGCCAGTGAAGCGAGCGGAGGAGCGGAGTGGTGTGGGAACATTTAGGAAGGTTGAAGACCAGACGAGCCGCTGCATTCTGGATGAGCTGCAGAGGTCGGATGGCACATGCAGGTAGACCAGCCAGGAGGGAGTTGCAGTAGTCTAGGCGTGAGATGACGAGAGCCTGGACCAGAACCTGAGTCGCTTTCTGTGTCAGCTGGGGACGTATCTTCCTGATGTTGTAAAGCGTGTATCTGCAGCAACGGGTTGTAGCAGCGATGTTTGCAGTGAAGGACAGGTTGTTATCTAGGGTCACACCCAGATTCCTTGCAGTCTGAGTAGGGGAAACAACAGAGGTGCCGATGTTGATAGTCAGGTCAAGGTTGCGGTCGGATAATCCAAAAATCACCTCCTAACGTCTAACCCTATCTCCTATTCCTTGACCTCTGAGTGAAAGGTCACGGGGTTAAGGGATAGTGGATAGGAGAATTCAAAAGGACTTAGGAGAAGAGACCGCGGTACTTTAGAGAATCCGAATGCACTTTCACTATCCGACGTGTTTATGATGCGCCAGCGGACGTCATGAATGTGCGTCTGCTGCTGTGGGGAAACTATGGAAACTACAGTTTTCTATACAGCAGACTACAACATGAATGTTTAATAAGAACGAGGGACTTCTGTAAACTCATCTAGAGACTCTGCACCGTGCTCTGATGCTGTTGCTTTATGCTTTATGAACGTGGACAACAGAGAAACATATTCTTCATGACCAAAGTTGGAATTGAAATAAAAAAGGAAAGTGAAACTTATGCTCGTCACCCTCTCCCTCCGGTCCACATCAATACAAATGATCCCAATACGTATGATTGTATGAAAAGATCTTAAAATCAATACAGATGTATTTATTATAAACGTTAGTCCTTAACATCTATCACTGTGTATATCACCATTCAAACATCTTTTAAAAGTTGAACAAACCCCACACAGCTCAGTAAAGACTGTGAGATGTTGACTTTATTTGATCATTTCAGTAAAAACTAACGTTTATATTTCTCTTTTTGATTATAATACTGATGAACGTTCAAAACAAAGCACTTTGGCAACTTACCACATACGTTTTAAAATGCTTAATAAGCACCGTAACTTTCATGATATAATTTCTCGGTCATAATCGTTTGTTTCCGTGAACGGCCGACTGTTGAGTGACGGCAAATGCTGCGGCTGCAATGCATTGTGGGGCAGCATTTTCTCCTCTCCTTTCGGCTAGGGAGGTCCAGTGGTTCCTAAGCTAAAGGAGGTTATAAAGGAAGTTTGAAACCTCCTTTCCTTTCATTTGGAGAATTGGAACGGCACTTATCATGGCTGCCAGTGACGTACTTCCGGGTCATTTCACTCCGTTAGGAAGGTTCCTAAGCTAAATGGACTATTGGAACGCAACCGGACTTGAGCCAAGAGTGGGACAGTCTTTTCCCGGAAGGAAAAGCAGTTCAATCTTGTCAAGGTTGAGCTTGAGGTGGTGAGCAGACATCCACTGAGAGATGTTCGCTAGACAACATACATTAATAATGTTGTGTGCAAACATTTCAAATTTAAACACAAAAGGAAAAAAAGTTTACTTTGAAATGATTTCTCACAAAAACCTTTCTAAATTATTAAAAAAGGTTTAGTCTATATACGTTTTTCTGCCTAAAATAGTTGAAATTGTACGTAAACTATATCAAAGTACACCACATCCATGGCAATTAACCCATTTTTGTTAAGTTAATAACAATATTGATATTATATAGATATATAGCATATCATTGATGCAGTCTTTCTGAACACTTTTAAAATAAAATACTGCAAATGAACAATATTGGTAATGTTTTGCACAGATGCCTTAACTTAAATTTGAAAACACGTGGCAACTTTATTAATACAGCAGATGAAAAGATTTGTGGAAGGGTAAATTATTCATGGGATTCAATGGCTCTAGTAAATGGTGTTTTATGGTTGCTTGTATTATCCTCAGATAGTGGTTTGTTCAAATAACTAGTGACATTTTAATAAATATTGCAAAAAAGGCATATATAACCTATAACCCTATTTATTCAAGCACCACAAGATTCATAGTTTATAAAGTACAATTCTGGGCCATTGATTGTCATTTCTCCAAACACATACAGTAAAAATGCCTGTTTTGAAGCCTTAAAATGGTGCAGGAAAAGGACTTTTCAGTTAAGAGAAGAGAACAAAGGAAAGCAAATTGTTATAATGGGGGATGTAACATTAATGACAGACATAATATGAGGTCCTTGGCACTCAGACTCTCGAGGGGTCATGTTGTGATCATGGGGCATCACCCTTGTATACAGCATCAGGACAATATCATATGGAGTCAGAAACTGGAAGTGTGCTGGAGGCGTTGACTGGGACTGATGGAATTTGCAAGAAATAATCATATATTGAAAGACAGCAGCTTCATAAGAGGCCAAGCAGAGTGTTTCACTTTGCTGAAGGACAGTTGTGACCAGCTATCCAGGCCAGACTCTATAGACTTTCCAAGGGGTAAAAATGCTGCTGCCGGAGTACTGACTGGAAGTATTGCTGATATCAAGTCTACCATACCCTCTTAAAATACTCTGTCCAACAATATCAGTCTCATGAAGAAAGGTTTTTTAACGCTTATTCAAAATAGCAGAGAAACATGCATTCTTGTTCTCAGGAGGGGACATTGACAGAGGAGTAGCCTACTGGAAAAGTACACAGTAAGTACTTCATATTACTTGTGGGAGTTGTTTCACTAGTACTGAGTCCAACAGTGTCAATCTCACGAAGAACTAAGGGCAGAAAAAATAATAAGAAACTCGAGAGAGTGACCGCAGTGCAGAATCGCTGCATAGTTTAAAACATGTTGTCCATTTTAGACAAAGGCTTATTATATTTACAGCCCTTAATAACATCCATTTTATGGGCTCAATATGTGTCTTGGATGTTTTCGTTGTGATCGCTAAATTCACCTTGTTTATATATACAGTCTATGTTTATAATATTATCACAGTTCCAAGCACACGAGTGCTTTTGTTTTGAAATCACTTCCGTGAGTTTCGCCCCGCCCCTCGCTCCAAGGACCATTAGACCCTAAGGTAAAAAGCAAAAAGGCCTCTCAGATGCTCTTCCGTTTACTTGTTTAATAAAGAAAAACAAATGGACGGTAGATACACGGATTATAAAGGAATGATTGTGTTGTACTTTGTTGTAGTGATGGCTAAACCTCAGGAATATTATAATAACCAATAATAACCAATAGAATTATTATTACGTTTTAAAAAAATATTTTTAAAGGTCCCATGTCATGGTAATTTCTACTGATCATAATTCCATTGTTGAGGTCTACTAAAATAGATTTATACTGTGCAATTTTCCAAACTCACATTGGTTTCTCATACAGCATCTCTGTATACACTGAACAAAAATATAAACGCAACACTTTTGTTTTTGCTCCCATTTTTCATGAGATGAACTCAAAGATTTAAAAGATTTTCTATATACACAAAATAACCATTTCTCTCAAATATTGTTCACAAATCTGAAAAAATCTGTGATAGTGAGCACTTCTCCTTTGCCGAGATAATCCATCCCACCTCACAGGTGTGGCATATCAAGATGCTGATTAGACAGCATGATTATTGCACAGGTGTGCCTTAGGCTGGCCACAATAAAAGGCCACTCTGAAACGTGCAGTTTTGCTTTATTGGGGGGGTCCGAAAACCAGTCAGTATCTGGTGTGAGGGGTAGGGGTAGGGTAATGTTGTGAATCAAGTGGCCCATGGTGGTGGTGGGGTTATGGTATGGGCACGCGTATGTTATGGACGACGAACACAGGCCACTCGATTCACAACATTACCCTAACCCTAACCCTACCCCTAAGCTAATTATAAGCACACACACTTCCCAGCATTTGTCCATATTTAAAACTCCTATCTGACCTTAGGTCAAACAACACACACACACCCATCCAAAGATCCTCAGGCCCGTGCAACCATTCTCAACCGAGAATCCTAAACCCTACCCCAACACAAAACCTAACCCTAACCCACCTGCGAGGCTCCACTAGCACCCACACCCCCAAACGCGGCGCACCTACAGTGTAAGCCGCCACAGTTTTGCAGCTGCGAGGCTCCACTAGCACCACCCCCCCCCCCCCCAGCGCGTCACAATCTCGTGTGTGTGTGTGTGTGTGTGTGTGTGTGTGTGTGTGTGTGTGTGTGTGTGTGTGTGTGTGTGTGTGGTGTGTGTCGTGTGTGTGTGTGTGTGTGTGTTTGTGTGTGTGTGTTGTGTGGTGTGTGTGTGTGTGGTGTGTGTGTGTGGTGTGTGTGTGTGTGTGTGTGTGTGTGTGTGTGTGTGTGTGTGTGTGTGTGTGTGTGTGTGTGTGTGTGTGTGTGTGTGTGTGTGTGTGTGTGTGTGTGTGTGTGTGGTGTGTGTGTGTGTGTGTGTGTGTGTGTGTGTGTGTGTGTGTGTGTGTGTGTGTGTGTGTGTGTGTGTGTGTGTGTGTGTGTGTGTGTGTGTGTGTGTGTGTGTGTGTGTGTGTGTGTGTGTGTGTGTGTGTGTGTGGTGTGTGTGTGTGTGTGTGTGTGGTGTGTGTGTGTGTGTGTGTGTGTGTGTGTGTGTGTGTGTGGTGTGTGTGTGTGTGTGTGTGTGTGTGTGTGTGTGTGTGTGTGTGTGTGTGTGTGTGTGTGTGTGTGTGTGTGTGTGTGTGTGTGGAGAGCTCCACGGATTTGGGTATGGTCACGTCACTCTACCCAGGAAGAAAAAGAGAAATCTCCAACGAGGTGTTCTGGAGCAGCACAGACAGGTCTTCTCTGTGTTAGAGTTTTACTCGCTACAGGGTGTACTTTGAGGGTTTTTGACTCTGCAGACCGTTTACATGCAGAGAAACCTTCATAACACACAAGGGGACGGGTGATAACCAGAAAAGCATGACATGACCCCTTTAAGTATCTGTTAACAGCAGTGAGTTTTAATTAGGGATGCACAATAAATATTGGAAATATACCATTTTGTCAAATGAAGTTAAATTGCTTCCAAAATGTACAGCCCCTAAACACAGAGACTGGTAGAACTGGTTCTGTACTTTGTATTTTTTTGCATTTAAGAATAGTATAAGTTAGCTATGATAGATAACGTTAAGCGACAGCTATGGAATAACAAATCCAATTGTGAAAATATCTGTTAACGGAATTGGCCCTGAGATATTGGTAATTACTGCTTTTTGTTATTGGCTGAAAAAATTATATTGAATCCCTAGTTTTAATCCTCTCCACTTCCCTCTGTAGCGAGCTGTTCCAGGTCCAGATGTCTGCAGGAGGAGTCGGTTCTGTGTCCAGGTTCGACCGGCTGCGGGACATCCCACACTATGACCAGGTCCCTGTGGGCTCATTATGGCATGACCTGGATCTTCCACCCCCCCCGGCACCCTTGCATGGAACAGTACCAGCAGTGAGCTTAGACCCACTTCCCCCTCCCCCGCTACCTGAACAGCCAGCTGTTGGGCTAGAATCTTTCCCCCCCCCTTACCATGATGAGCCAATGGAGGATGACTGTGATGCCATGGATATGAAGCCGGTTCGCCGCTTCGTTCCTGACTCGGTCAAGAATTTCTTCCGTGGCAACAGCGGGAATGGTGACGGCATGGGTTGGGTCCTACCCCCTCCTTCACAACATCTACCTGCTTCTTATTCCCCTGCCCCCTCTTCTAGTAAGAGCGCCAACTGCCGCACCACAGCAGGAGTCCCCTGTTCACCTCCCAACTCCCCCCCTCCATCTCCTTATCTTCAAGGGTCATATCGGGACCCCTACGGCGGCTCTGGGGGAAGCTACACCTCTCAGAAGGAGAGAGACGGGCTGCTGCTTGGTGCTGAAGCTCTTGACTCTGCGTCTGCGGTGCCTACCAATCTTTCGGCTCTGACCTACCTGGAGCGGGTGGAGGAGTACCACCAGCGCTACGCCTACATGAAGTCCTGGGCTGGCCTGCTGAGGATCCTGGGCTGTGTGGAGCTGCTGCTGGGAGCTGCTGTGTTTGCCTGCGTCTGTGCTTATGTTCATAAGGACAACGAGTGGTTCAATATGTATGGATACTCCCAGCCACAGATGTTTGGGGGGCTGGGTGGAGGTGCCAGTGCTTATGGACATGGTGATGGTTACTACACAGGCCCCAAAACACCTTTTGTCCTAGTGGTGGCTGGTCTAGCGTGGATAGTGACTGTTATTTTGCTCGTTCTTGGGATGACAATATACTACAGAGCCATACTTCTTGACTCTTCTTGGTGGCCAGTCACAGAGTGTTCCATCAACCTTGTGTTGGGGGTGCTCTACTTAGCAGCAGGGATAGTGTATGTGAGGGACACCACTCGAGGGGGGCTGTGCAACATGCCAGTCTTCAATAATGGAGTTAATGGGGCATTTTGTCGCACTGAAGCCGGCCAAACAGCAGCCATGGTCTTCCTCTTCCTCACCATGGCACTCTACTTCATTGGTGCTGGAGTGTGTCTAAAGCTGTGGAGACATGAGGCAGCCAGGATGAAGAAGGAAGGTCTCGCACACGAGGTCTGACACACACACACACACACACACACACACACACACACACACACACACACACACACACACACACACACACACACACACACACACACACACACACACACACACACACAAGTACACACACACACACACACAAGTACTAGCTGAAAACAGTTCAGTTAAGACCTCAAATGACAAATAAGGTTTCATCTATAGCCTGTGTAGATAATGACAGACAGGGGTTACCCATTAAACCTGAGCAATATACTGCTGTGGACTGGGACACATAAGCAACACTTTAAAGAAAGGCTCACACTATATTGAGAACATTTTAGTTTTAGTATGTTGTGTTGCTTTGGCAAAAGTCACATAGTAACAAAAAAAACAAGGCAGCGCTGGACCAGCAACTCCCTCCTTCTCTGTACAGTTTTTTCAATGGAGTCTGGTGTCTTTGGCAAGAGCGTAGATGGATATAAGCTTCAGTTCCCTAATGGATACGAGTGTCTCACAGCAAGGTAAAGCTGTAAAAACATTCTAATTATGGCGTACACTTAAACTGGTATTGTTTTTGTTGGGCCTAATTTGAGAGGTGGCTAAAACATGTTATGACTTATATAACACAACGGAGGCGTGTGGCGCAGTGGATAGAGCGTTGGTGTGGGATCAGGGGGGCACAGGTTCAAACCCCACTGCAGTCAGCATGTCGTTGTGTCCCTGAGACACTTCACCCCAAATTGCTCCTGTGGGGATTGCCCACAGTATTGAGTATGTAACAAGTAACATGTAATGTAATAACATTGAGCTGAAATGTTATTTGATTTAGAAAGATAAAGTGTTAGAGCAGCCTCATTAGGAGAAATTCCAGAGGAAACTTGGACTAGATTGAACATCTAAATAATCATTACCCATCTCTTCTTCCCATAATCCTAGATGAAAACCATTGGATCATCAGTCCCTCTCTCCATAGTAAGTATCAATGCTTTTTCAATTGCAGACATTGAATTTTACACAGTGTAAATGAAGTGAGCTCACAAACCTTTATGTACTGTAGCTGGGTCCAGCCTCCAGAGCCTCGGAGCAGACCCCGTTGCCCACCCTCCAGCCTGACATCATGGACAACTCTTCAGCTGCTCCTCTGATGGCACTGGAGCCAGAGTTCCTCAGAGGTCACATTCCAGCTGGACACATCCCCAAACCTGTCATCATAGCCGACTATGTTGCGTGAGTGTTAAAATAAGTTGCTACAATTTAGCCTTTTGTGTATATTTCATGTAGATGTTTGAAACACCAACACATTCTCACAGGAAGTACTGAAAAGCAATAATTATTCAAAATCTCAAAAATTAACTTGATATATATTTAACATTTTGTTACCGTTTTACTGTTTTATACTGCTTGCAACCTCTTTGAGGTCTCTGCCATCAGTGTATGAATGTGTGTTAAAGCACTTTGAGGGGCTGGGAGAGTAGAAAAGCTCTAAATGCAGGTCTGATCAAATATACTTAATTGTATTAGTATTTTTGTTATTTACTGAAACACCTCACAGAATCCACAGGTTTTCATAAGTCTCCATTAACGAAATGTGGTGGAATCTTTGAACTGTGTTCGTATATTACGCTGTCTAACACTGCAACATTTACAGCTTTAACCACCAACATTCTTCAAAAGGTTTGGCAGTGGCAGACCAAGGCCAACCATGCAAAAAAGATCTGAATTTTTTAGAAATGATCTGGTTCAAAAAGTATAGTATGCATTTGATCTTGAAGAAAAGGTACAAATAGGTTTCAGATCTGTACTAAAACAATAGCAAGTTGCTTTTACAGTATGTTTACTGAAACATGTTTTACTTCTATTCATTTTATTCATACCACCTTCATACTGGACATTGCGAGATTTCTTCCTTATGTGCTATAGATTACTGTAAGTAATGGGGGGAAAGCATCACAGAGTTAATTTAATGAAGTTAATGTCTTCAGCAATCTTAGTTAGATAAAACAAGTAGATATTGTCCAAATTACAGACGTTTTAGTATCGAATCCTCTCTTTTTGTAACTGCTAGTCCATTTGCAGCTTAGCAGGGAAACACTATACGGGAAATTACAAGCAAGGAAGTTTGTACTAAAAGATTGTGACTCTAAAAATATATATGACTTTTATATCAGTTTTTTATCCAAATGGTTGAGCATTCATGACAAAAGTTGTAAACCCCCAATCCCAATCCCAACCCTAAGCAGGTTACATATGTACACATACTGTAAATACAAACAGACATGTTTACACATTTGTCGTCTTATCAACAGATGATTCTCAACAACAACAAAAATAGATATGGTATGTATTTATTCATACATGCACGTAGAACATGTATACATCAAAAATAAATAAGGAAAATACATGATTCATATATTATAATGAATAACAGATAAATAAATAAGCAGATGAGATACATCCTTACACAAATGACCCAGACTTACCTGTATAGCTTATGCTACTCTGAATTGGGAGTGTGGGCTCCATCTATCATGTAGGGCAGGGGTGCCCAACCAGTCGATCGCGATCGACCGGTCGATCGCGGGGAGATTCCCAGTCGATCGCGAGATGTCTCTAAAAATAGAACAACAACATTCTGTTTTATCATTAATGTCCTGTAAAATAATCTTCCTTTGCCAGAATAATGCACTTGAACGCATCAAAGCTTTGTGATTGGCCGGCGTGACCCCATGTGTTGGGGCGTGGCTGGTGAGCAGTGGGCAGTGCACTAGTTCGCTAACATCGTCCATGTCAACAGGAGTGACAGTCCGCACACACACAAGACCGCAATTATGGCATAAGCAAAACATATATAATTTTCACTCCGAGTGGGAGGATGATTATATTTGTATCTATTCCAATTCAAAGTCCATCTGTCTCATCTGCAATGCGAGCGTGGCTTTATCGAAGAAGGGTAATTTAGGAGCGGCATTTCAAAACAGTGCACAAACGCTACGAGACGGAATTCCCTCCTAATTCTGCCCTACGCTCCAAAAGGGGAGGGGCCTGAAAGGACAGCTAAATGCACAGCAGTCCATTTTCACCAGGCCCAACAACAAGAGCAAGGCTCCTACCAGAGCATCTTATCGTCAGTCACGTTCTTGCGAAACACATGAAGTCTTTCAAAGACGGCAAAGTTGTGAAAGAAGCATTCCTGGAGGCTGCCGATGCGTAATAAAAATAACAGTAGCATTTCAACAGGTTTTTGATATGATAAAAACTCAAGTTAGATACCGTTATTAATCAGCTCTAAATTTGAGCTTGTTTGAATTTATTCATTATAATTATTGTACAAAATGGTATAAGAATGCAAACTTAAATTGATTATAATCTATTATCAATTCAGGTTAAGAAACTAGTGTTGCTTGCATCCTATTTTTTAAAGGCATTTATTTTTATAATCTACTAAAATGCAACAAAAAAATGGTTTGATTCTATTAATTTTGTCTTTTTTATTGCACGTTGGCAGCAGATTCCTGTGTTGCTTCAGATCTGAGTCGTCTTATTAGTAAGCCTCATTTATACTTTTGTAGCAACACTATTTTTATATAATGGCAAAGAAAGGGTTCAGAGTCTTTTCTTTTTTCCCTGTGTCATATGTGGCAGCACTGTTCAATGTTTCTTGAAAACATTACCCACTGTAGTGACGTGTGAATAAACTCCAACTCTGTATCAACAACACTGTTGTGTAACTTCAGTTAAATACTTGTATGTGTGTAGATTAGAAAGAGGTCAAATAAAGGATCTGCAGTATTTTATGAAGTATTAATCGTACAAAGGTCAGTTTTATACAAGTAGAAGTGTGTATGTACCTGGTAGTAGGCTGTCAGTAATGGCTACGCCTCTCTATTTGGACTGGTAGATCTCGGCAGACTGGCAACTTTAAAAGTAGCTCTCGGTTCAAAAAAGGTTGGGCACCCCTGATGTAGGGCCTTAATGATAGATGGATGCTGACGAAAGAAAGTGCACCTTGTTTTTTAACTACAGTATCTACCAGTAATCATAGCTCTGCAACTGAGTCTGGTCTGGTCTTGGGTGTTAGCAATATCTGAGAACAAATGTTTATGTTTGGGTTAAGAAGTGAAACAAAAACATGAAAAACACAAAAAGTAACAAAGAAAAACTCGTACCATCCTGGATCCCTGGGCTGGTCTTCCTTAAACCTAGAAGCCGAACAAACACTGTTCTAGGCATATGACACTTCCAGACTAACCTAAACTCTCACTCACTCTGAACTGGGCAAGGGCAGAACAAAATGGAACAGGGCCCTTCTCCAACTATTGCCATTACTGCAAGCTGAAGCGACCTTTAACACTTACAGTTGGAGTATGTAAACCATACTCCAACCAACTGCAGTGTAATAGACATGCAATCATTTATCCAGCTTGTACCACAGGCTGCAACATCATCATGTAGCTCCAACAGTACCTGCCATGGACCCCATGTTGACGTTCACTCTCTGTCGGTCTCCCGCGGTCGCAACTTGCCTCAGTATAGTGCCTCGCCTTGGTCTGGTCTTCAAAGCTAAGGTTATTATCTTAAAGTGGACCTATCATGCTATATTTGAAAAATATATTGTAGGGCCATACCTATATAAAACATGTCTGTGAAGTTTTTTTTTCAAAACACCAAACAGATCCTGCATTTTAGCCATGCCTCATTTCGCTCTATTTGCTCTATTCCAGCCCTGTTTTTGCAAGGGCTGATTCTGTGACATAGCTTTAATGCAAATGAGCTGCAGCTGACCACGCCCCCCTGCAGGAGAGGGGGAGCGTGCTTTGAGATGGAGCGTACTTTGAGATCAGCTGCTGGGCTGTCAGAAGAGGGGGAGGAAAAGAGATCTCCGTCCTCCGTGTTTTATTCTTATATATGATTATATAGAGTCATTATTCATTTTTTTTAAAGCTCAATAAATAACAAAGACGACCTCTGACCGGCACTTCTCTAATGTTGTCCGGAAGATTTCAACTTTAACGGACACTTCCTTGGAAGAGGCGGAGAGGTGGGTGTTTGTCATCTGCTGGTGGCAAACCGGAGAGAATTACAACAGGAGCAAACGCTTGCTTCGGGGAGGGAGAAAAAGAGCCAGAGCGTCCACAGCGGAGAATAAACAGAAGGGCAACCATGCGCGGGATGTCTTCTTCACTGCTTTTGTGGCAGGAGTACAGCGCCACTTACAGGCCTGGCATATGTACTAGAGCGTCTCCAGCGCTTTCGAGCGGTCTCGTGTGAACGGACACGTCTTGTGTAAACAACACTATTCTGGGCTGACGTCAGCTCGGATGGAATCTGTATCCGCTCGTTGCAGCCCCGTTTTTTAAAGATTTGGGTACGGAGGAAAATAGAGAGGGTTGTGTTTTCTGACACTTGGTGAGTTCCCTGGAACACCGGGGACACATATTCATGTATAAAAGACGTACAAAAGGGTATTTTGCATGATAGGTCCACTTTAAGTGTGGCTGGATATAGTAGAGCATATTTCACACCGGGGCACCAGCGAAGTATGCCCTGGACTTCATTGAAGGGGAGGAAGTGTAGTCCGGGTAGATGTGATAATGCTTGCTGTGTAGAAGATGGGCCCTGCTACAATGGCTTTTGGAACAACGGCAGCTATTTCCTGAACGTAGTGGAATTTTTTGATTATTGGCGTTGGTGCATGCCCATCCTCAGACTGCTGAAGACTTGTGTTAATTTAGTTTGAATTAAGCAAAAACATATGTTGTCTCCAACAGGAAGTACCCCGCTATCCGCTCAGAGGAGGAGAGGGACCAGTACAAGGCTGTGTTCAACGACCAGTACGCCGAGTACAAGGAGCTGCATGCTGAGGTGCAGGCCATGGCCAGGAGGTTTGGAGAGATGGACGAGATGATGCACAATCTCCCCTCCAGGCCTTCCAGCCAAATGGTAACGCCCACACACACGCACGCACGCACACACACACACACACACACGCGCATACACACGCATACAAACATGTATATATATGTCCAGTAACATTACAATTTTGTTTCAGGAGAAGGAGCGGATCAGTAACATTGTAATGGAGTATCAGAAAAAGAAAGCTGTAAGTACACATCATAAAATGTGATGATCCATCCAACGATCCATCCCCTGTCACTGGGGGAGGTCACTGGGGGAGGTCACTGGGGGAGGTCACTGGGGGAGGTCACTGGGGGATGTCACTGGGGGCTGTTTATGGTTAAGGTCTTTTTGTAAAGTTTCAAATTGTAAAGTTTAATTGTCAGTAATATTCCAGTAACAATTAAATTGATGTTCAGGATTTCACATACTCTCTTAACTTACATTTGGACTTTTAGATCTTTGATGTCTATTGAGGATAAACATAAACCTGTTAACAATGAAGTCAGGACAGAGTTGGTTAAAAATCTGGCTCAGACTCATTAGAAACTTTTTCCCTCAGTATTAAAGTATTCGAGCCAGGTGATTGTTGTCTTGCCAATGCAAACAGGAACTGCTAAAAAGCACATTCACTTTTCCATGTGGTAGTATTGGCTAAAAAAGTCATAGATTGTCAAAGATGTCGCACAGTTAATATTTGTACCTCATCTGATACTAACACTTGGTGCTTTGAAAATATTAGAAATAGGCATTCATCCTCTTTTTCTTCTATGTCAAATACAGGCAATTCTTTATTATTTGATTGATTTATATACATGGGCTGACAATGATATACTGAGTGAGGTGCTAAACATATAGAGTATGATGCCTATGAATGGTAGTAGAAAACATCCAGTCAAGAAAAAGCAGTATAGATTAGGGCTGCTCAATTAATCGTATTTTAATCGCAATTACGATTTGGCTTAACAACATTATTTATTTTATTTTGTATTTGTTTTTCAGTTGAATTCTTCTTCAAGTTCAGGGTAATCAACTGTTAAAAACATACTGTTCACATTTTTTTTTTCAATAAATGGATGTTTTCAAAGTAAATGGATAATCGTTTTTAATAATTGTGATATCAATTATTGACCCAAATAATCGAGATTTTGATTGTTGCCATAATCGAGCAGCCCTATAGATGATGTCCAAGATATACAAAACACATTTTTTCAAAAAGGAGAACCTGCAAGACTATTTTATATCCCTGATATAAAGGGAATTCCATCACAGGCAAAGACAGTTAGACACTTTATTTCTTTGTTTCTCTTTTTCTTTTTAGGATCCAACATATTTGGAAAAAAGAGAGAGGTGTGAGTACTTGAAGAAAAAGCTCTCTCATATCAAACAAAAGATTCAGGAGTATAACAAGGTCATGGACTGGAGCGATAGCAACTAAACACTGAAGTCATGAAGACAACGTGCTCTGTTGCACAAAACTGAGGGGACTGAGGTGGGAACGGTGTCTGGACATGGTGAAAAATCCCTCATTGTGCCCACACCTTCTTATCCACGAGCCATTATCACATTAGAACAGGTGGACCTACAGTCAATGTCTTTTAGAAAGAGTTGTGTACTGCAATGAAAAGCCTCACAAAAAGTGAGACATTCAGTATTCAGAGAGCTGTGATGGACCAGGTGTAACCTACAGTATATACCTGATATTATATTTACCTACACAGCAACCCAGATGCAGATCACGTTTTTTAATGAAGATTCATGGAAATATGCTTTGTTGTGCCATTTTGGGGAATCAGCTATAGCCTCTTTAAAGAAAACCACCAAAGCCTCTTTCTTAATGTTGTTAATGTTGATATACACAGTTCATTGTTTGGGCCATAACTCAAGAATTAAATTAAGTAGTATAAAATGGGACGAATGTAATCTGTTAAATTACTGGTTGGCGGAGGAATACAATCGCAAGCTGGTGATCATAGCCAAATGTGCAAAGAATTATCCGAGTGTGGGTAAGAGGAAAATCAAGCACGTTTTGGGGTCTTACAATGGCATAGACACTCTGTAGATAAATCTCATGGGGAAGTTGATTGTTAATGCTGACTCAATGATTGTATAAGTCGTAGTAGCAGCAGTTTTTTGTTCAACTGATTAGTTTTGATCACATAGGATAGGATTCTTTATGAACTACATGTGTGACACTGCAGAGGGTTAAGCTGCTTGCCATTATGGTCTGTGTATTATGTTACTGCTTTTATATTGCATTCATTCTGTCCATTATTCTTCTCTCAAACGGTTAGGCCCAATGTAAACTTTGACTAAAAGTTTGAATGTATGAATGGTCTCTCGTACAGTAACTGTTACCAAAATCACCATTTTGAACATAACAGATGTATTTTTTTATCGTTTTAATCATAACTTGGTAAACTTTTTGTACATTTATATGTTCGATTGATCTGCATATGTGATTGTTTTGTACCATATATTAAGTCCTACTGCTTTATGCCAATGAAGTACCTTTAAACAGTGTGTATATCTTCTCTTTTTTTTCAGTGCAAACTTCTGCAAAATCTGTCATTCAATGTTTAAGTAGTGGCAGAAGCCATGAATAGGGAGCGCCAAAAAGGGGTACAATAAGAGCATTGTTATATTTTCATAAATTGTGTTTTCATGTATTGCTATAAATCCCTGGGTCTTGCTTTATTTATTTTTAAAAAAGGTCAAATTTTCTATTTACACTTTTAAGGCAGAATATCAATAGAGTACAACCACAGAGCAAATTAACAGATTGTCAGTAGGCATTGGATACTATAATACAGGCATCCTCAAAGTCCGGACTCTGGTCCGGATCCAGACCGAACCACAACTGTCTCTGGACTCGGAGCAAATTATACTGTTCATATGTATTATCTGTGTTATCTGCGAGACATCGCCAAAACGCAACGAGTCAAAATTCTCCGCTATGTCCACTGCAAACACAGCGCTCTGCATGTCCGCCTGTTCCACTGTCTGTGTGTGTCTGTCAACGCATTGGTCCAATCACATTCAGCATCCCGTCAGCGTTTTTCCCCCCACCAACAGTCTGCGAATCAGAGGCACGGGCGGGCGGGCCTTCGCGGAATGCGGGTGGGAAAATGCGTGTCTCGTCTCTTTCAAACTGTCTCAGTCAGAGCGAGAGCTTTAAAAAAAGAAAGTCAGAGCGAGAGTTAACAGCTCATTGCATCTATACTGTAGCCAGTAGCCTAGTTTCACCTACCAGTTGCCACCCCAGTTGGCAGCTTTGTTTTGAAAGAAAAGTTGTGGCTCATCGGACATTTATGAGAGAAAGTCTCTAATGTCCGAGTGCAAGTGAATGCAGCACAAGACGCACGTCTTGTAACCCCTCCCCCGGTCCTGGCGCGAGCGTGGAAATATGATTGGCGGCGATTTCATTTGAACGGGACGGCGCAAAACGAGAAGCATTCGGACCCAAGCACTGAAGGAATGAGGTATTTGCGGCTGTACTCAGCATTGAATCAAAACGCACTAAAGCCAACCTGATCTCACCAGAATGCGTGACTCCACCACGACTCCTTAACACCGCATTGCGTGGTGGAGTCACGCATTCTGCTACATTTGCGTGTCGGCACCACGCAAAAAACCCCAATGTAAAGTGAATGAGGCTCTTTTGTCGTGGTGCACACACGCATTTCTACAACGTCCCACAGTGAGCTTTTATTCTATAAAACGTTTTTAAAATCTACTTTATAGCTTGTAGTAACTCACGGGAGGCTTCTTTTATTTTATTTGTATTCATAATCATTTTTATTTTTCGTCAGAATGTAAAAATTACATTAGTTACGAATTTTTGTTCTCAAAAAACAGTGCATTGTGTGTAATACAACTGTGATTTTTATTAAATTAGTTAGTTTTTAAGGAAGGCCAGAGCTTCAGCTGTGTCAAATAGATTGTTCCCTTTAGTTAACGTTATTTAAAAGATAATGATCATGTCCCCTTTATTGTATTACGAGCGTCCATTCCCATTGGATAACGGAGAATTTTACACCCGGAAGTAAGTATTCTCCTGACTGTCGATTAATTTTACAGTGATATCTGCACTACTCATCAACTCAAAAAAACCAAATTATCCTTGTTAATTACACAACATTGATTGGTTTAAATTGTGTACAATGCTTTTGTATTTTTCCCCTTCGATTCGGAGAAACGAATATTTTTTTCGGAGTTTTTGGATGGCAGAAGACACTACACTACCCAGAATCCTCAGCTATCGTTTGGGACTACACCATGTGCTTAGCTTGACAAACCCCGTGATCAGTCCTCAAGCTCTGTGATTGGTTGACCTCCAACTGCATTCCATATAAAAAAATGTTTCGTAAAAGATCAAATCATACTTTATTCAGCATTGCTTGCTTTACTCTTTGAAAGTCATCACATGAATGCATTGTAATAAATGGTTTGGCTACATTAAATATTACACATCTGTCGTAGTTCTTTATTTATCTACAGAGATCGGGCCTCAAAATAGACCGGAAACTATTATTTTACCGTTCTGTTTTAATTTCACAATAAAGTTAGTAGTAATAATTTGTTTTGATATTATTGTTTTTTATTAACTACTAGACCGCTGGGTCATGTTAAGACCATATTTTCTGTGTTGCTATGGGTTTTTTCCATCGCTTTTATGTTAGAAATATCAAAACAATAACAAAATATATCCGTTGTCAACTAAACCAAAAACAGCAGTATATTTTATTGTGTTAACACTGTAAACTTGACAGCTTTTTAACCCAAACCACCTACTGGTTAAAGCACGTTATTACACGTTTACAGTAATTGCAATGCAGGTAGATTATGTTGCTTTTTAATGACTGTTTAAAATGCCTTTTTCTTAATGTCTTTCATTTTTGTAAAGTACTTTTGAATGTGTTTGATGAAAACATTTAAATATTAAGAATACATACAAAATAGTGGGAAAGTAGAAGGTCAATGATATAAATATAGAATAGAAAATATCAAGAAGATACTGTAAATAATATCTACAACAAAACAGTTTAGTGCCTGATAGGAGGATGTGCAAAACAGACAAACTAATAAGGCTTTATTTAAACATTAAAGAATACTTTAGGCTAAGGTCTTCTTTTAAATAAGAAAAAAGCTTTGGGGGTATCTATCTACAGATACATGTTAAGCCTGACAAAGTAATTAACGTCTAATATATTGTATGGTTTGTTTTGGAACTTGACAATCAACTTTCCTGCAATGTTAACTATGTTGAAGCACTTATTTTAACCGATATTATACATATTTATTATACTCTTATAAGATGTTAGATAGAATAATACATGTGCAGAATATGACAGTTTAATGGTGGAGATACACACATATTGATAGATGTCTTGTAATGCACTGTTGAGGAACCTGTGACCCAAGTTTTGCATTCATTGCATAACTACACCGTAGTTGTGTATATGATATGTCAATAAACCTTAGAAAATCTTGAAATTTTGAAAGGGATGTGCAAAATATCAATTATATACAGTCTTTAATGAACGATTAGAGAATAACGAGTAATGAATATGCTTTATACGGATCTGCAGATAAATGTTTAGTCTTCTCAAGCACCAACTATCAAATATCTCTCCTGATTGTTGGCACTTGACAATCACCTTCCCTGAATTTTACTCAGGTGTAACTAAAGTCTGATTTAAGGGTTGTTTATATTTCACATCATTAATCCAAATCTGTAAAGTAACTAAAATAAATGTAGTGGAGTAAAAACACCACGTTAACCTTAACGAAAGCCCTCAGCATTATAAAAGACCCCCATCACCCCAGCCACAAACTGTTCTGTCTGCTGCCGTCTGGCAGGCGGAACCGCAGCATCCGGACTAAAACCACCAGACTCAGGGACAGCTTCATCCCACAGGCCATAAGACTATGAAACACCTGAACTTAGAAACAACATCCATAACATTCATCTGGCTGCTACTTAGAAATTATTTATCTAATATATCATATTCACAATGTAGTGACTGCTTTTTTGTCTTTTGTTTTCTTAGTTATGTTCTCTTTTATATGTGTGTGTTATGTGTAACGTTGCTAACTTCTTGGCCAGGTCAGCATTGAAAATGAGATTGTATCTCAATGCTTTTATCTGGTTAAATAAAGGTTAAATAAAAAATAAAAAAGATTCCAATCTGTATATAGACTCTTATTGCACTATTTCACTATTTTTTCTGTGTATCTGTTTTATTGTGTTGCACTGTTGGAGGAGCCTGCGACCTAAGGGGGGGGGGGGGATAGGACACGTTCGATTCTTGTTTTGAATAGTGTGCCGTCGATGGGCTTCATTCCATTTCAAGGTGCTTTTTGACGCTCCGTGTAAACTTCGCGCACTGCCACTCCAACATCCAATCACAGAGCTTGAGGACTGATCACGGGGTTTGTCAAGCTAAGCACATGGTGTAGTCCCAAACGATAGCTGAGGATTCTGGGTAGTGTAGTGTCTTCTGCCATCCAAAAACTCCGAAAAAATATTCGTTTCTCCGAATCGAAGGGGAAAAATACAAAAGCATTGTACACAATTTAAACCAATCAATGTTGTGTAATTAACAAGGATAATCTGGTGTTTTTGAGTTGATGAGTAGTGCAGATATCACTGTAAAATCAATCGACAGTAAGGAGAATACTTACTTCCGGGTGTAAAATTCTCCGTTATCCAATGGGAATGGACGCTCGTAATACAATAAAGGGGACATGATCATTATCTTTTAAATAACGTTAACTAAAGGGAACAATCTATTTGACACAGCTGAAGCTCTGGCCTTCCTTAAAAACTAACTAATTTAATAAAAATCACAGTTGTATTACACACAATGCACTGTTTTTTGAGAACAAAAATTCGTAACTAATGTAATTTTTACATTCTGACGAAAAATAAAAATGATTATGAATACAAATAAAATAAAAGAAGCCTCCCGTGAGTTACTACAAGCTATAAAGTAGATTTTAAAAACGTTTTATAGAATAAAAGCTCACTGTGGGACGTTGTAGAAATGCGTGTGTGCACCACGACAAAAGAGCCTCATTCACTTTACATTGGGGTTTTTTGCGTGGTGCCGACACGCAAATGTAGCAGAATGCGTGACTCCACCACGCAATGCGGTGTTAAGGAGTCGTGGTGGAGTCACGCATTCTGGTGAGATCAGGTTGACTAAAGCTGTTGATCTTAATACGTTTGTGAGGCGTTTTGCTGAACAAAATTGTAATCGCCGCATTCAGCTGTAATAGACATGTCAACTTGATGCTCTGCTCACGGATGAGCATACAAAACTGTTACGATGATGACCTTACGTGTGTAAATATATATTTTTCTTTGAGGGGGTCTGCCCCCAAAAAACAGTTTTAAGTCCTGAGAAAGTCAAATAAGACGGTGTGTAAAACTACACTGCCCAGCCAAAAAAAGTAACCACTTTGATTTAACTAGGCCAGTAGGTAAGGACTTTCCACTGGATAATAACTGAAGTATAAAAGAATGCAGGACCGAAGTGATGGAGACCATGTTGAAGGCAAACAAAAAGAGGAAATAACAGGTCAAATCAAGCAAATCCCCTCTCAGATTCCACAGTAACCAGAAGAACAGAAATACTGGCTGGTGATTTGATTCATCAGCTTTGTGATG